TTTTTTTTTTAAATATAAGTAGATAAAACATCAATAAGTAATTGTTTAATTTGTGTTTTAGGGGTTTTTAATAGAAAAATATAATTAATTTTTTCTTCATTTTTTTGTATTGCATGTAAATTGAAAATAATACCTTATTAACTATAATTTTTCTTACGTTTAATAGTTTTTTTGGGGGGGATGTTTTAAATTCGCTACGTCAGAGAACGTAATTCTCAATGTCAATTATATAAAACAATTTAAGATATTATCCGGTAACGGTAAAGTTACGGCACAATACTTAGAAATGGCAAGATACTGAACCGGTTTCTGAAGTAAAGAAGTGAACAGAAATCAGGTAGATGCAACGTTTAGGTCATGAGGCTCTCACTCGTGTATTAAAGAGGTGGACGACCTGCACTTTTATGCTTTTAACCGTTGAGTTGTATTTTATTTTTTAAACGTTATCGACGATATATATAAAGTTTAGCTTTAATATGTGGAATCATGTTTTGGTACATCGTATTCTTTATCGTTACTCCTGTTCGTATGCAGAGATTTCAACCCGAACAAATCCATCTTGCAATCGGTGGTATGATTTATTTTATCTAATATTTTCGATTTAATATACCCCAATTTTTTTTTATTTTTAAATAATAATTCTAGTTAATATAGTTGTTTTTTTTACACTAATCCGATTGAATTGCAAACATTTTCTGTAGATAATCTAAAGGAAATGGTAGTGATGTGGAATACCCCCGATAATCCTAAACTTTCATTCGTGCAATATGGTAACTCTAGATCCTCCTTGGATAGACAAGCTGTGGGTACAAGAAGAGTTCTTAACAATGGAGCTCTGATTCTCAGTAAACAATACGTTCACACTGTCCGTTTACAAAACTTACAACCTAATTCTACTTATTGTAAGTAAATTTCTTCTCTCGTAATGATTCGTTTTCACTCTAAAAGTTGACCTTACAATGTTTTATTTTTATCTTATAATTTTTCTTTAGGGTACAAATGCGGTAGCATTAAAGGATGGAGTGACGTCTACAGTTTCGTCACAGTTCCCGAGGGAACAGAATGGAGTCCTAAAGTAATCGTTTTTGGTGATTTGGGATTAGAAAATGCTCGCTCCGCGCCTAGATTACAAAAAGAAGCCGAATCTGGACAATGGAATTTTATGATACATAATGGTTAGTTTATATATTTTATATATGTATAATATATATATTTAATAAGATACGAATTAATCTATTGTAGGATTAGTAATACTATGTCGCAACTTGTGTATAGGTAGTAAATTTACGTCATAAGTGACGTGTCGGTGACAGTTCCATCGTATATAACTTTATCGGAGAAGATATAAAAACTGGTAACCGGTGACAAAATATATGACATCATAAATAATGTCATCTCCATTATAGATAGAAGTTTATGAGTGATACGACTAAAAATCCTTGTCCATTCCTTGTATTTTATAAGTATTAAACTTAATCTTGCGCTCTATTTTTAAACGAAATTAATTTTACTATAAATTGGAAAATAAAAAATTTAAACAATAAACTTTATCTTTAATAATGTACAGTACTTATAGATAAATTATTGAGAAGAACTGGTATAAAAATTTATGATGTTAAATTCCTTCCTTTCATCTCATTAAATACTAATATTTAGTTTCAATGTCTGAATGTTTAGTGATTAATATTAACTTTTCGACCCTACAATTACATATAAGATGTGTTACAAGTCTCCTAATATAAAAATTAATTTTATTTTTATATTAGGAGACTTGTTTTATTTATTAACTTGTGTTATTATTTATTAGATTTAAATAAATATACTCCAAACTTATATCGATTTGATGACACGCAACTTTTTAAGCTTATATATATATATATGTTCTTTCTTCTCAAAATTATTTACAGCTTGATTTTCTTCTAGAGATAATGTCATTCTGTTGAGAATATTCTGTTCGTTATTGAATTCTTATCGTGTCAAAAACATGTTCATCTGCATCTTCTCTCTTCTTTCCTGTTTCTCCTTGTCATTCCGCCATTCATTTCTAGATTTTAACAATGATAAAGCCACTCGAAAATGACAAGAAAATAAATTGACTTAGTTATTTTAAAATGAAATGTTCACCCCCCCCTTTTTTACTTTTATTTTTTGTTTGAACAGTAGAAATTTACTTGCATTTTTTTTCCTTATAGGTGATATAGCCTACGATCTCAATTTGGTGAGTATAAATTATTTTATATAAGCCTATATTAATATGAAGAATATATTTAAACGATTTTATCGTTTACAAACAGGTACTAGGGAAAGTGGGTGATCTTTTCATGCGTTTAATAGAACCTATAGCAACACTAGTACCGTATATGGTGACTGTTGGGAATCACGAGTCTTTTTGGTAAAAATTTATTTATATAATTATATAAATACATAAACAGCATCGAGTTAAAATAGTACACGTTTAAATATATAGGAATTTTAGTAATTATAAAACACGATTTGACATGCCAGGAAACGAAGATAATATGATGTACAGGTTTGTTTATTGCTCTTTCTCACAAATTAAATGAAAAAGCTTGATAAATAATGTGTTAAATAAAAAAAAAAATGCATATCTAGCGATGGTGTTTCCACAGCTTGAAAGTTGGACCCGCTTTATTTATTTTTTTATCCACTGAAGTCTATTACTTTTTGGAACTTGGTGGGATATCTGCTATAGAACGACAATATGTTTGGCTCGAAAATCTCCTTATTGTAAGTGAAAAACTAATAAAATTATTACGTCTTAATACTTTAATAACTTTAAAATTAGATTAATTTACGATATAAATTAATTTAGGAAGCTAATTTACCAGAAAACAGGAAAAAACGTCCGTGGATTATTGTATTTGGACACAGACCCATGTATTGCTCCAATAACAATATTCGTGATTGCTCTTGGGATCAAACTTTAGTAAGTAGACGATCAGTTTCGGTATTATATGACTTGCATTATACTTAAAAGAGTTTTATCTGTAGACAAGAGTCGGTTTGCCCATCAGCCGAAAATACGGTTTAGAACCTTTGCTGTATAATTACGGTGTCGATTTAGCATTTTGGGCTCACGAACATTCTTACGAAAGAATGTGGCCTCTGTACAACAAAAGAGTAAGTTGTAATATATATATATATTATAAATATTATAATCTATCTTTATATATATGGACATTTTATTTCTTCATCCTAGGTTTATAAAGGCAGCAAAGAATCTCCTTATTTCAATCCTAGAGCCACAATTCACATTACAACTGGCTCGGCCGTAAGTAATATATTTACATTTATTAATAATAAACGAAAAGAATCGAATTTATTCTTTAATATCTTTAGGGAAATCGAGAAAAAGTAGACTTTTTTCGTAAACTTTTACCACGTTGGAGCGCTGTTCGAAATAGCGATTATGGATATACTCGCCTTATTATTCAAAATCGAACGCATTTATATTTCGATATGGTATCTGACGATAAGGTAATTATTATTATTTTTTACAAGTAACAATAAATAATACAAACTGTAACAAATTTAGTTCGAAATTTGTTCACAGGATGGTGCTGTAATAGACGAAGCGTGGATCGTCAAGGAAAAGCATGGTCCATTCCCTATACTTTTTCCTAATGATGCTTATTTAGAAACGTCTTCAGCCACCACTCAATCACCATAAGATTTTTTTTTAAATGCTTGATAGACATCAATATAACTAATAATATATATTTTTAAATTTGCTTACTAATAAAGTTTATTTTTTTGTAAATTATAAAATTGATATATACAGTTTTCATATAGCCTACTAAATTTAGTCTACTAAATCACACTGCAATTCCCTTACGCCACGTAATTAAGATGGTACTCGCACATTAATGAGTAAATAAATACAGTGCTATTACCCTGTAATTTCATTCTTTACGTGTTAATCCACATATTCAATTTTCGATTATCCGCATCGCTGCAGGTGATGCGGATAATCGATGCGGATCAATTCGGATAATCGGCATTCTATGCCACTAGCTTCGTGTATATTCACTCTTCCAGATTACCACAGTTCTTGTATACAGCTTATAGGATTAACTGACATCTATTTCATCGCAGTTAACTGTAGTTACGCTGTAGTAATTTTATAAAGCACGTGGACTGTAGTTACTTCAACGTAACTGCAATCCACGTGCTTTATAAAATTGTTATTTGGAAAAGAAACAAATAAAAAATAAACAATAAAGCAAATCTCACGAGAGACATTTACGCTTTCTAGCTTCTGTCTATGGGACCATTGAGGGATTCAAGAAAATTATATAGAAAGCGCAAAAAGCACGAAATTAAATAGGTCTCTATCTATATATATAATCGAGACGAGTTGATAATGATAATAATGATAATAATAATAATAATAATAAGCACAGAGCCCAAACGGTTAGGAGTTGAAAGTTGAAATTTGGTACACAGTTAGGGTACGTCACGAAAATGCACACTAGGAAGGGATTTTTCGAAATTCCTCCCCGGGGGGAGAGACAGGATTAAGGTTTCGACAATGTAAGTGTTAAGTAACAATGGAAGTGTTAAGTAACAATGAAAGTGCTAAATAACAATAGAAGTGTTAAGAATGGAAGTGTCAACAATGGATGTGTCAACAAAAAGCACGAAATTAAATAAATAAGCCTTTATATATATATATATTTATTAAAATAAAAATATGTTTTCTTTATTTTATAATCTAATATTTGATATTTTTAATAAAACTGAATTGGTTTTTTCCATTTAAATACAAAGGTAGCATATTGTTTGTTTATATCAAAATATACAATTATCGATTAAAAATAATATGTATTTACAGATTCTCACTATCTTTTGATATACAATATATGTACAGTTTCCTGAGAAAATTTTCTCCTCTCGTAAGTTATATGTTATCAATAAATATTATTTGGGAATAATTTAGGATAAGGTCCGTGTTTATCCTTTTTAATCAAAATATGATCGATGGTATCTCCAAACTGAAATCAGATGTGAATATATATATAATTCTATGTGTAAATACGAATCAAACCATTCGGAATTTAGAGTTATAATTACCTGATCTGCCGACATTTGTTCTAATTCAAGATGGGATGCGTTGTGTACTATCATACGAAGATAACCGTAAGTACTACTTCTGAACGCACTCCAGTGAGGTTTGTGCTCTTTAAATTCTAATACCCTTTCTTTATTACCCTGAAATGATTTTAATATTTATAAGTATGCAATATGATAGCTTAGTTCAGTATTAATAACATTAATTTAACATACTTACCGCGCATCCGCTCGTTATATGTACGGGAGCTTTTGGGTTATGATAAGGCAACCATATACTTCCATTATATACCTAAACTCCAAAATAATAATAAGAAATCAATAAAGTTTCATTCAGTTTCCTCCCAAATGATGTGCCAGTTATGGTAGATATAAACGTCGCCAGTAATGATGACCTTAAGAAGTTTAAAACAGATAATATAACAAATTCTAAATGCTAATAACAAGTAAAATCCTTATTAAATCCGACTCTACTTCAGATATGACACACGACCCCCTCTATCTACCCATCCCGTTGACCTTTAACCACCAAAATTTAATAGCATCAATCCCTCTAATACATAAATCTCCCTGCAAAATTTCAGAAATTTTTGACAAAAGACACAGGAATTATTAAGCTTCAAAGAAAGTGAACAAAATCGTACCACCCACACGCACTAACATCCATACATACAGGAAAAACTCCAGAATTTGAGAAAATTTGGTATAAAGAAAAGGAAATTCTGTTATTAAAATATAAATAATAAATATTAAAATACAGACCTTGTTATCATAAAGTGGCCAAGTACGTTCGTACGAATGTTGATGTCCCCAAATAGCTAAATCGACTCCATACTTATATAAAATTTCTTCCAGGCCGTAATTTAATAGAGGAAGTCCATTACGGGTCTTAAATTTGATAAAATAGTTAAACGTTATTAATTTAATTAAATTAATTTTTAATAAAAATTAATAATTACCAATGTGAAATCCCACGAGCAATCTCTGAACGTCTTGTTTGAACAATACATAGGTCTGTGGCCGATGACAATAATCCACGGTGTTTGAGCGCGATTATTTGGCAAATTTGCCTCCTAAATAACACAATTGAATATTTGTGAATTATCGGGTGATTTTTTTCTTAAAAAATTATCATACTTTAATTTAAAAAATGATTTGTCAAAATCGTTAGTCGATTCTTGTCTTTTTTTATTATTAAATAATATATAATTTTTAAGCCATGCACTTTGACAAAATGCTAGTACTCTATGAATTTTAGTTACTATCAAACCTTCATCTAGATAAAATTTTAAATTTCTATAATGAATTACATAATTTTCTTTATCAAAAAGAGTTGGAACCAATTTTTTATTAGTATTAGTATATTTTAAATTTAATTTACGTAATATAGTTTTTTGATAATTAGATAATAAATCATACGGGATATTAGTATGCTCAGTAGCAAGTGGTAAATCATTATGTCTATCGTGAATACTTTCCGGATATTTTAGATCTACTTCTAAGATATATCCGATGTCATTTTCATCTGATATATTACATATGTCTAAAGCATTTATTTCATCTTTGGACAACCATCTAAAATTATTTACAGGTAAATATGCACTCATTACAAACCCATAAAGATTATTTGCATCTATGGACAGAATATAATTATGAGGTTGATTTTTATCATAAGTTTCAGGTATTAACGGATTATTTGCTTTTGCATATCTTTTACCCNTATACAGTCGATCCCCCTATAAGATCATTGATTTTTCCGTTTTATCTGAATTACATGTTGTACGAGTCACTTAGATTTTACAAATACGTGTGCCGGGCTGTGAACGGCTCACGTATTTGTAAAATCTAAGTGACTAGTACAACACGGAATTCATATAAAACGGAAAAATCAACAGTGTTATGGGGGGGTCGACTGTACTTAATATAATAAATCATTTTACCGAGTTCATATCGTATGCAATGTCACCTGAAATATAAAATTTACTGATAAGAATACATTGCTGTAGTTTTAAGAGTAAATTCGGTAACAAAAAAATAATAATAATAAATGATTTTAATGATGAAATACCATTATGAAATAATAAATTCCATTTTCCAGACCAAACTTCTCTCTCTAAACTTGGCATGGATCGAGCATTTCTTAATCCTAAATCACCAAAAATTAATAACTTTGGACTCCAATTATAACCACGTGGATGCGTTGTGAATTTATAAATTTGGCTCCAATTTTTATTATTTCCACATCTGTACCCTATTCGAATTAAAATAATAATAATAAATAAAGTGTCAACGACCAAGATTTTATAACATTTTAAATATTTGTCAGATTTTTAATGTAATAAACAAAGAGAGAGAGAGAACACTTTGACCTACTTAAAAATCATTCTTAAATTAGATCAATCACCTAAAGAATACGAATAATTTGATGAAAAATGAAAATAATTGCTGTTATTTTTTATTTTTCTTATTATAATTTAATAACATAATTATTATCTCAAAATACTATTCTGTATACTTAATTAATTAATATCAAAGACACTTATTATACAGTCTAAATACAGAACTTAATCGGTTGCGAGTTTATTAACACTATTATTTCCTACGTAACTTTATTTTTGTTTGTTGAATACATCTGATAATTATTTCTATGCAGTTTTAATCTTATCGTAGTGATTATTGACCTTTACAATAACCTTGGAGTGGCCCCATTTGCGCGCTTTTATTTCAATGCTGCGAAACTCGATCGTACCTGTTCCAGTGAGAATTCATTATTTGACAGTATAAACCCGTGGCATTGATCTCTACAAGCATTGACAATATACATCCAGTCATTAACATACTAATATACGTAAAATTCTAACCTATTTTTTTTCCAATTAACTGTTGTGTTAGTCATAGATGATTGCCTACGTACGAAGATGGAAGTGTTATTTCACTTTCACCTATCACCTCTTTTAATAATTAAATTTATTGATTTCGTGTACTAAATTTTCACTTTTGTACTCATTCATTTTATTATAAAAGTTCGACGGACCATATTTAGGACACACTTTCCTGTTTCTATAATTTCCTAGCTTTGTATTTTCCTATTTTGCACATGTTCGATTAGAATTATTGCTTTTGTTTGGTTAATATTTATTAAATAACGTATTAAAAAAAAAAAAAAAAAAGCGTAAATTCTCACGTAGCATAATTCGTTTCGTGCAAGTTTTAGTTTTGTACAATTCGGCGCTAAGTAAATATAAAAATATAGGAATAACAAGGAAGGAATTTAAAGTTAGAAATTATAAAAATACATTTTAAAGCTTAAAGCTATTCACGCAGCAAGGAAAACTTTGTATTACTTACAATATGTGACGTTAGGTAACAATTTTTGCAGTCGAACTTTATGCACGAATTGTCTAGTGAGCCTCAATAACAATCCGTGATTTAATTGTTCGCTAATACCAATTCCTAAATAGATTAATTTCGAAGGGGAAGGGCCATATTCTACTTTTGGAACTCCAGGATTATCTTTAGTGTTCCACATGACTACCAATTCGTCTGGATTGTCTGAAATTGTTTACCAAACATTTCGTTAATTGTCTAATAATAATAATAATTATATGAAATGTAAGTGACCTACCTCCTAAGGATAGATGAATCTGTTCCGGTTGAAATTCACTAGCAAAACACACATTTAATATCGATATTATAAAGAGAAATATTAATAACATTTTAAAAGGATTGTCCTGAAAATAAAAGTAAAATTCTCAATAAGTTTTATCTGAAATTATTTACAAAAGAAAAAATAATCTTTAAAAGTTAATAATGAAAACGGGTTTATGTATATTTGGGTCATTACAAATAGTTTCATTATTAAATATGATAAAAGTTTACGATTAAATTGAAACAATTGACAACTGTATACATTTATTGTTTATTAAATAATGTGTTTTCACTTGAAATTGTTTAGAATTAATGTAATAAAAATATCTTTTATGTAATATTTAATACAGTAGACCCCCCTATAACACTCGATAATTCCGTTTTATATGAATTCCGTGTTGTACGAGTCACTTAGATTTTACAAATACGTGTGCCGGGCTGTAAACTAATTGACTTGTACAACATGGAATTCATATAAAACGGAATTATCTACAGTGTTATAGGGAGGTCTACTTGTACACGCTACTTAAGTTGGAAATTATCAATTAAATCTAAAATTATAAGAAATTAAAACAGAAAAAAAAACAACATTACTCCTCGGAATTCATAAAAAGTAAACACGAAACACAATAAAAAATTAGCCTACATTTGTTAATTGTTGTAGAAATTTAGAAAAAAATAGCGTTTTCCAAGCGAAATTAGCTGCGAAAAATGAAGATTCTCACCTGTTTAAAGTATGGAGTGAAAGTGGATGAAGCTACGTGGATGGTGGATGGCGACACAATTCCATCTCGCGCTCTTTCCTGAAAAAGCGGAAAAAAATTCGTCTATAAGAATATAAACGTCGACCTCAATACATGTTCCCTGGTTGGCTGCAGGCTAAATCGTTTGTTTATTTTAATTTCCAAAATGACAACGGTGTACGGGAACGATTTAATAATTGAATTTTATAAAATATCGTATATTTATTTTTATGGGAGAATAAAGTCGTTTAAAGTTGAGTAAAATAGATTAACTAATGATACTTTAGTTGAGTGATGATACCCATTTAAAAGTGTCATTTATTACTTCCTACGTCCATGGTTTGATAATTTAAGCAAACGATTGCTTTGTAAAAGTTTCTCTATAGGTTATTATAAAATACTTTTTAAAGTTTAGAAATAATAGGTTAAATGTGTAATTTATTAATTTTCCTGGCTGATAAATGCGAGAAAAATCTCGTAAATGGAATTAATTTCTGCAGTTTTCGTACATGTAATATACCTCAGAACCATAAACAAATGGTGTCCAAATTACTTTAATTTATAAATAATTTAAAGCAAAAGAATCTATTCATACAGATTTATAATAAAATTACTCAATTATTAACAGATAAATAAATAAATTAATGTTATATTGTGTATAAAATTGATTTAAATCCATAAATCTTCTTTCTATATTTATAGAAAGCTCCAATATAAGATTTATTCATTTGAATTATGGCAATATTGTTAACTTAAACAGTGAATTTCTTTCTAATGTGATTAAGCAATATAAATTAAAACAATTATATCGATTTTAGTATAAAGTAATACTTATTCTGTGTTAGAATAGAAGAATTTTAATAACTTTCAAATCATTCAGCAAGCCACAAACACTAAACAAGAAACATAAAATGCGGCTGTGTTAATAATTAATTATTTATTTATTATATTAAAACAAAATTCTAATACATTTATTTTGGATTTGGTAATAAATAATTCAAGACTAAAATAATTATGCCACAATTACTACGAAAGAACTTAAGAAATCATAAAAAAATGTACCATTAAAAATTCAATTTATACTCGTAACCGAATAAATATTTCAAGTATTTTTATANTATTAATAAAATAAATGCATGTATTTTTCAATGTAAAGTTCTTCTTTACAGTGAATATGAGCTGAACAAATTAACTATTGAACCCATATCATTAGATATTATCAACATTGAAATTTTTTCAAGATTATTTTAAGCATTTACTTTTATTATTATTATTTATTTGATATACCCAAGTAAAAGTCAAAATAATAGTATTATACGAAGACTTGTTTTACAAATAACGCTCTTCATCAATAATTGAAAAGCAGAAGATTTCAACATTATTTTTCGTTTATAAGAGTATTTTTAATGCTATGTAGTTAGTGTGCCATCAAATAAAATGCCACTGGTTTAAATAAATTTCAAAACTACTGCTTTAATTATTATTATTATTATTTATTTGATTTTGCAAGGGGCCATCAAACACTGAGGAATAAAAAGCCCATTATGCAGAGCGACTGTAAGTTGAGAAGTGGAAATCTACCCTGTTCAGTTGAAGATGTAAGAGGGCAGTCGCAACCTCTTAAACGTGATTCAGTAATAGCTATAACATTCAAAGTCCTGAGGCAGCAGCCAACTCATTTTTAGTTGAAATCCAAGTGATCGCCAGCATTCGTGAAAAATCCAAGCAATCGTAGCCTAGAGACTAAGCCGTAGACTTTATCCTTGCCTTTCCAGAGCAAATAGCCAAAACTAAGTATTCATGGCCATTTGGTTGACAATTGGCCCACCAGTGTGGCCAAGCTGTTCCGTTCCCTGAACACTGGGAGTTTGGGCATTGCCAGAACGGGCAGTTTCCCCGGTTTTCTCCACTTTAGTAACACTTAAATAGGGACCAGTTTCCTTAAAAGACTTCCTGGGAGCCATCCTCTTCGGCAGATCATTCATGTGTTGCGTTGCCGTAAACAAGGGATATCAAATTGTAATTTAATAGTATGAATCCATCTAATATACGGTAATCTCCGCAAAATTTCAGAAATTTTCGACAAAAGGCACAGGAGTTATTAGGCTTTAAAGTAGGTGAACAAAATCCTGCCCCCAAACACTAACATCCATACGTAGAGGGGGAAAACGTATTGTTTTCTGTAGGGTGGAAACGTGAGGATTAATTAGAATACCAGACTTACAGCATGAATCAATTTAAAAAAGATTTGTGGATGACTCGGTAACCTTTTAAATAAATATTTATGTGAGCAAATTATTCCAATTTACAATAATTCTACACGAAAATGTGATAATAAAACGTTGTTCATTGATGTATGCGATATAAGTCATGTGGAAATACGTAAGACGTGAGTTGTTTTCTATTTTTGTTCTAATTGAACATATGGAAGAAATCCATACTCATCTGATAGGCGATTTAAAGAATGCTTCTTAAACTACATACCAAGTTGTACTAATAAAAATACATTGATATTTAAACACGTATATGATGTTACGGTATGACAACTTTATCAGCATCATAATATATGCTCCAGAAACATGGTATTATTTAATAAAGATTTTTCCCCCCTGGAATTCTAGCACTGACTACCACTCTGAGTAGCATTGATTTAACATCTCACAGGTCACGGTTGAAGGCATTTAAGTTAATGGAGCTTGAAAAAATTCATTCAATGTATTGTAACGCTTAGTGAGTTATTGAATATATTTTTATAAAGTTAAAAAGTAACATTTTTGGAGCAATTTTCTATATAAAAATAAAGAAACTGCTTAAACGAAAACCTGTCAAACCGGAAAAAATATTAGGTACCGTGCTATTCCATTTTACACAGGTTTTACTATGTAATTTTAAATAGAAGGCCAAATAAATTGTGAATTTAAGTCAAATTTTCTAGACCAATTGATTGAAAAAAGACGTCGAAAAGAAGAGCGTACACAAAAGAATAAAACTAAATACTTCAAGTAACACATAAAGAATTGGTGTATAGTACTCGTAAAAATGCTGTAATAATATAATTAGATTTATTGTATATTATATTTCCCGTTTACTATACATACTTTGTTACTTTGTATTTATTCTACAAATTTATTTTAACAAGTAAAATCCGTGTTTGCTGTTTAAATTTACAAATTGATTTCCAACATGCAAATGAAATGACCTATTTAAAGCAGATAGGATGAATAAGGCTTCTTCTCTCTCGCAATTTTCATCTATTGAATAAATAAACTGAACCTAAGGGTTGCTCATTCGAACATTTCGAGTTCTTTGATGATTTATTTCATCTTACATTGAGTTCCTTATCTTTCTTTTACTAAGATTCTCCAATATCATTGCATTCTTCTCATCATACCGGTAGTGTTGAGAATTAAACCTCGTACGAATCATCGTTCCAACATTACTATTTTACTGCTAATGGACTAGGCTCTTTTTATATATTAATTTATTTATATATAAAAAGCATAACTTATTTGCATGGTTTTTCTTGCTCAAATCTGTGGATGAGATATTTGAGTCTTCTGCAGTGTTTTTCTAGGATGCTATTCAATCCAATTTCTTTTAATGAATCGATAATGATACTAGTAAAGGAAGGGCATAGGACTTGTATTGACTTGTGAGTATATTCGAAGGATAAAGTGGATAGCGAGACCTCTTTTTAAACCTTGTTACACTTGGTTGACGCCCAAATGCCTCTAGAATAGTATCTTGAAATGTTATAGGTACACAAATTGCAGTTTATAAGCTCCTCCACAGAATCCTCCACGAGTTAAAGTCCTCATTTAAAAATGGAGCTAATTAAAAAGCTTGTAATCAGCGTGACACGTTATTGTGAGAGTTGTTTGACCGTGAGAGTTGTTCATTTTCCGTATTAACCCTATGCACTGATGACATATGACTTCTCAGTCTGTGATGTTTATGACATATTAAAACACGAAGTCGTCGTTATTTTTAACTGAAATGTTTTTAATGTTATGATTATGCATATGCACACACTAAATTTAAATTCCTTTAATCATATTTAAATATAATGTAATTTCAATATAAGCGTGTATTATCCAAATTCTTATGAAGTTCACCATAAGTATACTCTATGTTCTACTGATTCTGTTACAGAAAGGATAAAATAAAAGCTTTAACTGAACTCTTTAAATGTTGAACACGTAAAGAGAACCGCAAAACCCCACGTGGACAACCCGTTTGTAAGGATCGAACCCGCTACCAACTACTAGTGTTCAGTTGGTTTATCCATTAGGCCATTGGGGGGACTACTTGGAATAAGAGGTCATTCAATGAAAATTTAAATATAATGAATATTTTATATGAAATAAGCAAAACGGCCCTTTATAATGTTATATCAAAGCGACACAATTGGCAAAAAAAAAGGTTCCATTACTGTTTGATGTCTTGTGCTATAATTTTTATTATTTTTTGTATGAAAATATTGGGTTAAATACGT